CACAGGCAACTGCTGTGCGTGCAGACTGGCCACAGGCCTCTGATGTGTGTGAAGCTCTGTCAGCTCACAGCATCTTTGAGCCTTAAAATTGCAACTCCCAACTTACAGACAAAACACTGGGAGGCAACAGGAGCGGCTCTTTCCTAAGTCATGGCAGCAGCTCCACTGGTGCCTGGTCATCAGAGACCCCATCAGGCAGCACTCCAAGACCAACTCATATGGTAGGGATGGCAGCAGGGAAGGGGAGACTTTCACAGAGTTTTTAATAGCAGGTCAGCAATTACTGGGCAGTCACGACCCTCCTGTTTGCTGCCACCATGGAGATGCTAGCAAAGGTCGGAGTACCTGAGCAGCTTGGCTGTACACCCTCTTGGGGCTATTTTTATCTAAGTTACTAATTATACATTACCTATATGTCATCCAGGCTGATCAATATTAGCCTGAGGAATCAATACGGATGTGGATGACGGTGCTGTTTGCCATTCAGGGCCTGTACAAGCTGGGAAAAAAAGGGCACCATCGATCCCAGAGGTGAGCTGAGATGCAGGGAGGGATGGGAGGCACAACAGAGGCAGTGACCACACGCTGCCTTCCTAAATAACACTGTGACACAGGAACTGGGCCAGCCTCCTGGCCAGGCACCTGCCACATCCGTGCTGTCCCCAGAATGTGTCTGCATCTTAGGGCTGGGGCAAATGTCCCACTCATCCCGCAGCACTCCCAGGGAAATGGCACAGCCTGCTTTCACCTGGGTTGCTTTTCAGTCGTTGGGATGTGATGCATTTAAAGATTCCTTACGATCTACAAATAAACAATTCTCCCTCTTTATGTGTTCTTACCTGATAATCAATGTCTTACATAATCACAGGCTACTTCAAAAAGCACAAGGTCTCCAGCATTTTGCTTTGCTGCTTAACTAACCCTAAGCTGAGGCCACCTCCGTAATGCCATTGTGCAGCTTCTGACAGAAAGAAGGACCTTGGCTGCAGGATGCAATCCAATTTTTCTTGAAGAAGCTCTTAGGACTCCCATGAAATTTAGAATTAAACTGCAGCTAAGTCAGGGAATTGTATAAGTGGGTGTTTCTACCTGTCTTGCTGGAGCTTTATGACTGTTCTGATTCTGTCATAGTGATGCTAGGAAATTGTTCTTCGAAACCAAAAGAACCTCAGAAAGGAACAGGCAGACCAGGATCATTTGCCCTCAGCAGTGAGTTTGTCTTCAGCAGTGAGTTGACAGTGGTAGGATCAGACAGAGAGCAGTGTGGGGTGAAAGCAAAACTCTCCCCAAAGGCTTCCCTCATGCTCGACTGTGCCTGTGGCCCCGCTGAGGTGCAAAGCTCTGCAGCCTCCTCCTGTCAGGCCGCTTCGCAGCCACGTCTCGGAAATTAGGGAAAGGATCAGCAGCCGTGGTGCAGCCGGGGGTGCATCCAGCTACTAACTGCAGATGGATCCACCACCACTCGGCAGCAAAGCAAGAGCCCTTTGCCTGAAAAACCCATGGTGAAAACCTTCCAAAAAGCAACACAGTCCTGGTTGTTGCTGAGGCTTTCAGAGTAGCAAAGGGAGCTGCGGAGGGAGGCTGCTAGTCCCTGCTGCCTGCCTACAAAGACTCGTTGCTTTTCCTAAGCAGCAGATGCAATCTGCTTTGGTGCCAGAGCGCAGTCGCCAGCAGCTTAATCCCACAGCAGACCCATAATCCTTCCCTTGGTCCCACAAGCAGAAAGCTGCCTGGATTTGCTGTTTGATGCGGTTTTCTCAGCCTCGGCTCAAATCTCAATCTCCACAGGTAACAAATCTCGCTCCCCTGGAAAGGCCGTTCCCCTGGGAGTGCAGATGATCCTGGGCTGGGGAGCAGACACAGTCCATGCTGGAAACCCAGCAGAGGCTGCTTTGGCTCTTGGCATCCCCAGCATTCAGGACACTGCCCTAATGTGGCGGCACTGCTGGGGATGTGTGGACTGCGTGTGACAGCTCAGAGTGAGGCCTCGGGGCTCCCCTGGGCATCACCGACGGGTGCCCGTGGGTGAAGCCAGTGCCTGGGACACTGATGGCTCTGCACTCCCTCCAGCAGCTTCACCGCTGGCAGTCGCTCAAAAACTGGTCTGAGAGCTTTGCAGAGATAAACTGTAATGTCCAGCTATAAACCCCAGCTCCCTGCCACAGTTCCTGGAAGCCCCTGGAGAGGTTGTACTGGCACAGCCAGATCCTGGAGAACACCCCCTGCCCTTCCCTCACAGCCCTGTATGGCAGGAAACATTTCTCCTGGAATTAACTCTATTTTTAAAATGCCAGCAAAGAGGCTTTTGCTGAAAAATGACTATGGCAGGATTTCAGCTGTGCACCCACTTACACTCCCTGTCCCTGGGGTTAGCCCCAGGGCCCCTCTCCGTCATCAGCAATGGGCTGCAGCTGGGGGTTGGGGCCACCCCGTTGACCCACACATAAATGGGGCCAGTTTGCCTACCCCAGCCTCTCTGGTGGTGCTGCTATAGGCTGCAGAGGAGATATTTTAGCATAAATTTCGTATTGGTGAGCTGGCACCATGCTCAGGGGGTGAACTCCGTCTCTAATCTCTCAGGGGCAGCTTTGACTTTGCTTGTAGGGTGTGAGCATTGAGCAAATGTTCTGTCTTTTATCCTTTCTCTGTGGCTGATTTACTCTTTCATTAGGGATCATCCTCTTGTCATTTGTGTGTATGTTGGGTTTTTTTTTTCCAAGAGGTAGATGCCAGGCATCAGGAATCATGTGTTCAACGTATGGTGGCAATTAGCCCAGCTCTGAACCCTGATGGCATGTCTGTGTCTGCAATTAATGCTCTGCTCTGTCTGCATGAGGTTTCTGTCCTCCTTCCTTCTGGAGCTGCAAGAGACAACTTATACCTCTAAAAAATAGCAGGAAAGTGCAGGACAGCCAGAGCCTGGCTGCCCCTTGCTGTGGGGCTGCTCTCAGGATTAGATCTCGTTTGGTTCAGCTCGGCCTCTGCACCTGGATTTACATGAGTGTGGCTCAGAGCATCTGTCTGATAGGGTGTAGAGGCTGTGGGGACTGATTCTGGCTCTGCCGGTGCCTCTGCTCATGCATTTTATGGCATGTTTTATGCTCCTGGCTGAATGCACCTGGCTCTTTATTGGGAAGTTAGACTGCCTGATTCAAGGTTTTATAGTATTAAGCTTATTTACTTGTGCTTTTGGTGGTCTGCAAACCACTTTGGGTTGTTTCTGTTGGGGAAATGGAAGCAAAATTTGGGTTTCAAGGGGAAAATGTCAGAACAGGTAGAGCTGGTGAGACCTGCTGTTCATCAGGTAAACCTGGGGTTTTGGGAGCTATGTGGCTCCCTCCTGCTGCTGTGCCAGCATCTCGTGGTGGTTTTATAGGGGGTCCCCTGGCTGAGCTGTACCCTGCTCCCCCCACCCCCATCAGAAAGTTGCTCCACCAAACCTCATGGGCTTGCTCAGTTTTCCTTCTCTTCCACGTAAAGTCAACTACCTTAAACCCCCCACTTTTGTCTATGAGATAATGTGATTTTGGGGGAGGAGTGTTGCTGTCACCCAGCTGCTTGCTGGGCTGCAGCTGGTTTCTAATGAAGAGCTTCCTGCTCGTGGCAGGGAACAGTGAAAAAAAAATTGGGGGGGGTCAGCATTTCCAAATCCAAATACATTAAACCATTTAATTCTGTTGACTCAGGGCTGCCTCGCTCTGAATGGGAATTAATCCACAGTGAACCAGAATTAAAAAGCGCAATACAAAATGCTTAGCAAGGCACTGCTGGGGTTTAAAGCAACCCATTAGCTTGCTCGAACGTCCCCGGTAAATTTTCATTTGTCAATAATGCTTAGAGCCTACAGTTTATTTACAGCCTGTTCAATATTACCAAAACCCCTCACAGCGCCTCATTTGTATTTATCTGCCACAGTCTGGTTTTTTTTCCAGGGACTCTTCCTAATCCCCTGCTTCGCACCCTCTTGTGTCTCGCTGCAGAACCAGCCACAGCAGGGATGTGCCACCCCCTTGGGCAAAGGTAGGGCAGGGTTACCCCTTTCCAACCCCCTCTCTCCTGTGTGGGAGACCACCTGCAAGGCCACCCTGAGCCACCTCCCAGTGACCCATGCCATCCCCAGGCTGGGGCTGAGACTGGTTGGCATGGAGCTCCTCCAGCATCCATCCTGCACTCAGGGGACCCACTGGCCATGACCACCATGCGACACAGGAGGGCGATGGAATGCCCAAGTCATGGCATCCAAGGGATGCTTTGGTCACTAGCGATGTGCTACCTACAGCCCAGCTGAGCTGGAGCAGCCATGGCTAATGGGCCAGGCCCCTCCATCTGTTCCCAAATCGGCTCCCGTGGGATGAGCCCTGGTGAGGACAGCATGTAACAGGATTTCCCCCAAAAGCTGCTTGAATGCTGCTGGGCAGATAATGAAGCCTGGCTGGCCCTAAGGATTTCTCCAAGGAAAGGAGTTTATTCTCGGGCACAGACATGAATGGGCAGTTTAATCTCCTGTCATGGCTTGTGTCCAGTGCAGCCACAGGGACATCGCTGAGGAATTGGGATGGTTTGGTCCAACACTTCAGCTCCTGGAGATGCAGCTCCCCACAGTGGAGACTGCTCTCGGGTGGGGTTTGTCCCTTCACAGGGAGCACAGGATGGGGACAGACCTTCCCCAGCTGCCTGCCTCCTTCCCCCTGGTCTTCACCACTCGCCGCAGCCTCCTGCCCCACACAAGAGCCAGAGCAGGGGGCAACGAGTGGGACCTGCAGCCCAGGCTCTCTGCCACAGACCTGTGTATTTGGGCAGAGGGGATTCTCAGTAGATCTTACAAGGATGGACTCAGGAGGCAATTGCTAAAAGGAAAGGCCACTCGCTTTTCTCCCAGCGTGGGTTAGGGTTTGCAAGAGCCTCTTGCTGCTGAGATCCAGGGTGCTGTGAACAGCCAGGCAGCACCCTGGGGGAAACTCCACCTTTCCACCCCAAAGAGCAAAGTCCCCGTCACTTGCCTGCTGCTGTCTGCATGTAGCCAGCCAGGGTGCAGACTCTTCTCTCGCAGGCTCCGCCGGGCAGCAGGATGGCGACGATGGCCAGCAGCGAGCTGAGGGCCAGCAGGACACAGCCGCCCGCGCACAGCACAGCGCTCGTCTGAAAGGACACGCAGGGATGTCAGCAAGGTGATCCCCCACCGCTATCGCCGCGACACCTCCCCACAGAACACCCCTCCTGAAGGGAGAAGTGGCGCCCTGTCATGGGCAGCTTCTCCCACCTTTTCCCTTCCAGCTTCTATTGCTTAAATTCACTGTTAAATACCAAGCCCATGGTTCACCTGTCACCTGGTCCCAGGGGTTATCAGTATTCGGGCTGTGGGGATAACAGCAAACGTATTACATGCATGAAGGGCTACGTCACTAATACAAGTGCCATCAGATGCCTGTGGCGCGTGTCAGTGCCTCCACTGAGAGCTAAAACGGATCTCGCGACCGCGCCTGCCCCTGAGAGCCTGGCAATTTGAAGGTATTTTGCCACTGATGCTCCACAGCAGAGAACCTGCTACTGCAGAAGTTCCCTTGCAGCCAGCCCCTGCCGACCCGGCCGGCTGCTCCCAGCCCAGCTCACCTCCAACAGCCCCACCAGCTTTTTGCCTTTGATTTAGCCTCTCTCTCAACAAAATGGGGTCATTTGGGGCTGTTGCTCAAACCCAGCTTGCACTGTGTGAGGATGCTTTGGGGTGCTGGTGGCTGTGGGAGAGCATAGCGGGCAACGTTTTCCCCGGGGGCCAGCACAGCCTGCAGCCCGTTCCCCTGCCGTCACCTGGCCGGGGTGGAAGCAGTTTGTTATTTAATATTCTGGCTGTAAGATACAAACTGCATCCGCATCTAAAAACTGGGAAAAACACTAATTCATGGCAAAACAGCCTGCCCTTAGATACGGGCACCCAATTGCTGCACTGTTACAGTTTCTGTCCCTGCTGCAGGTGACATTGCCACCTCTGCCACCTGGGTGGCACTGGCAGTGAGGCGGTCCCCGTACCAGCAGTGACATGAGCCAGCCCAGCCAGGATCATGGTGTGGTGGGGGGCAGTGAGGGGACCCACGACGAGTGCCACCTCCTCCCGCACCCAGCTCGGGTCAGCATTCAAAGAGTGTGTGGGCCCGTTGGTCCCGGCATTGCGGCAGCCACGTCGGATCCTGTCACTTCACAGCATTTCACGGCAAATCCTGCAAAACGCTCCCGGCTTTGGTGAGTCACCCTGTGGTAATGTCAGCATCTTCTCCCTAAAGCAGTACCGCTGTGAGACAGGTCTCGGCCTCATTTTCCTAATAACCGTGTAGGAGCTGCCGTGAGGAGCTCGGGTCCCACCTCTACCCACCCTGTCCCAGCTCTCTTGCCCTGCTGAGATGTTCTGGTTAGAAACACATGGGTTTGCTTTTTTACTTTTCCCCCTACATTTGAGCTTTGGGCAACCATGATTACTAGAGGAACAAACCCAACACATGTTTCCATTTGGCCCCCCTCGCCAAAGAGGTCACAAATCAGGAGTAAATAATCTGCTAAACACAAGTTATGCTGCAGGAACCACGGGCAGCTGGAGAGGGGGAAGAGGAATTGGGTTTAGTGGGATGACTACAGGGGGTCCAAGCAGCTAAAAAACCCTCCAGCACTAGCGGAGCTGCGACAAGGGTCTGGCACTGCCCCACCTGTGTTATTCACTGCTGAGCTGGTTTTTGGCAGCTGGACTGGCTGGTGCCATGGTGGCAAAGCCACTGGCTGCAGGGTCCTGCCCGGGAGCTGCTGCCACTCTGAAAAGGGACACGCTGGTGCTGGCAAGGGACAAACCAGGAGAGACGGCACTGCCCTGACACCCTGGTGTGAGTGTTTCCCCTGGTGCTGTGCAGTGATTAGAAATCAGGATCTTCTTTATAGCCTGTTTATGCACCACACAAGCAGTGCAAATGCTGTCCTGGCAATAAATTAATTCCTGATGTGCGATGTAAAGGGCACGGCAGTGAAACAGCTACCAAGAGAAACGGCTGTCTGGGCAGGGACTGTGGCAGCAGAGGTACCTGCTCCTCCCCAGTGCGTTCCAAGGCCCAAAGAGACAAGTGACGCTTCAAGCCAAAAGAGTTGAGGTTGGGACACCCCCAGAGGGTACCAGCCCCTTGTCTGTACCCTGGGAGGGACCTACAGGCTTTGGGTGGGATGGATGACCCCTTCGCACAGCCCAGCACAGGGCCCCGCGGGGAGAGCAGCCACCGCCCTTGCTCCCCACCGCTCCCAGAACAGCAGTGCGGTGAGGAAATAGGCGCTCATTAAAAAAAAAAAGAGAATTACTCTGCCCGGCATCTGAATTTCACCTTCCACCCAGCAATGTGCAAATCCATCCTCCTTTGTGAGGACCATTAATTATTTAGAGCGATGAATTTTTCAGCAGAAAGGGGTCTTGTGAAGCAGGTTTGTTCCTCTCTGGTGTGAAGCATATTATTTTTAATGATCTAGGTTCTTCTTAATTATGGTAGTTCAAATCCCCTAAAAACTCAGAGCCCCTGCTGGAAACAGCCTATGAGCCGCTCAGACTGCTAATCCCTGCAGAAAGGTGCAAAGATGTTTTCCAGGACACAGCGCCAAGAAAAAAGTCACAAACAGGATGGGTGCGGGGGAGTGTTACGCTGAAAGAACTGGCTGTGGTTCGGGTCCTGCCATCAGGGTTTGCACAGGCAGCAGCAAGACTGCGGGGTCCTGGGGCTGGCAGCACCCTGATGTGCATGGTGGTGGCCAAAAAGGACCAATTTCACCCAGGCCTTAGGACTGAGGTCTGGGGGCAAAAGGGGTAATGCGGCTGTGGTTTTGCTGTGGGGCACGAGGGATAGCAGGGGCACAGCTACCCCAAAATAAGGAAGGCACAGGGCACTTCAGGACAGATTGCAGGAGACCCCACTGCCAGCCAGCGGTCTTACTCTAGCTCCTACTCCGGTTCCTCCTTACTTGAACACAAGGTGAGAACTTCATTCCCTAGTGCGTTCACATGACCTGCCAAAACACCAAATATGCTCTTGTAACCCAGAAATCTCCCTTTTGTCGTAACATTTCCAGGGCTTTGACTGGGAATTTTCCCAAGTGCTCCTGCCCTGTACTGGAGTCGCACCTGTGGAACAGACAGCGCTTCTGATGAAAAACAATAAGGCTTAAGTTTGAAGACATCCACGGAGCAAAGGTACCAAACAGTAGTAGCTAAACCCCTTTCCTTGCAACGGCACAGCACCTCCCTCTCCTCCCTGTTTGTGCCTGTTGCATCTTGAGCGGAAAGGAGAGGATGCAGGAAACAGGATGCAAAGGCTGAAACCCAAAAATAGATGCGGGGAGCAAGAAACAAATGGGATGCATCGGCCGTGTGTGAGAGCCCAGCTAAGGCTGGGGCAGGAAAAAGCCCATTCGTAACAGCAAGGGCATAGCTCCCACTGCAAAACCAGCCAGGGAGAAGCAGGACCTCACTGCCCGGTGGGCTGCCTCTCCCCAGGCATCGCAGACCCACATCCACACCAGGGGAGCCCAGCAGTCCCTGGGCTGTGAGCTATCCTGCCGCACTGGGAAAAGACATAAAACCATGTCAGATTTTCTGCTCCCACTCCCTGGGAGATTGTTTATCCCCAAACAAATTAATAGTCTCCTGGTGGGACTGTAAATATGCCTTTATGTAGCATAATAAATTCCGATTAACAACAATCCCCTACCCATTATTTTAATATTTTACAGGTCTGACACGCGCTATGGCTATGCCATTCACTAAGCAATAAATCTGCTGAAGATGCTGTTTCATTCACAAAAAAAAAAAGATCAAAATTAAAATGCCACACAGTGACCATCCTGGGAAAAAACACTTCATATCCCTGATGAAAATTGAAAAAGCCATTAACCCATTTTTTGAAACCAGCATCCGCGATCTTCACAGTTTAAAATTAAAAGGGCAAAAGGGAAAAAAAATCAGTCCAATGAGTTAGCGCTGAGAAATGGTACCTGGTGTTTGGCTTGGCGGAGATAAACCAACTTAGCAATGCTCCTGCCATCACATTCTCTGTGCTGGGTCACATCACGATGCACATTAGTCCATTAATGCAATTTATTAATTGGAACTTGGCCACCCCTGAATGCTGCCATCCTGGTTGGGTCCCGTGGTACCTGGAGCAGTGGGCTGAAGGCAAGGTTACAGAACACTCGGGTATTTCATCCCTGCCCAAATGCTTAAACATCTTTGCAAATGGGGGCAGAAAATAAATACCCTAAACAAGTAGGAAATAAAGCCATGGGCTGAGAGAGAGTGAAGGTCACAGCATGTCTGGCTTTTGGGGGTGTCTGTTGAAGCAGAAAAAGTCTGAGAAACCTTGAATAAACTGGGGGAAAACTGGCTGTAAAAGCAACAGTAAGAGAAGAGGGGGCAAAATGAATCAAACCGTTTTCTTTTTTTACATGTGATCCCTTCCCATCAGAGCTCTGCGTGATTAAACAATCATTCAGGGAAGATGTTTTGGGGCTAAACTGGATAGTTCTGTACCTGGAGAGGCAGAAACCAAACAGACATCAGGGTTTTTAACACTGTTGACATAAATCAGTGCTGGACAAAGGTGCTGAGTGGGGACCTGGGGTTTGGGATTTACAGCAGCGCTGGCAACACCAGGGGCTGATGCCACGAAGGAAATGCAGGTGTTGGCAGCTGGGTCTGGCTCTGCTGTGTGGCTTGAGATGCCCCTGGCCAGGCTGCTGGGTAGGAGTGGTTGCCACTGCCTGTTGGAGGGCAAATAAAGAGGGCTGGGAAGGATCAGTGCGAATACTCAGATGGGTATCTATCTGCAGGGCAACAGTGAAGCTGGAGCAGCAAATCTGCCTCCACCCCAGCACCCAACGGGGTCACCCACCAGATGCTGACGCCAGCACCATGTGGCCATGAGATCCTTCGCTTCTCCCAAACCTTCCTGTGAGTTTTGCACTAAACCCTAAAACCCTTGCTGTCATCCACACCATGCTGGGCGAGACTGCCCAGCACCCCAAACAGCAGTGCCTTCTCCTTGGGCAGAGGCGCAAGGGGTCATGGTAAAACCCAGGAATACCCACCTGGGCACAACAGAGAGGCGCCTGCCTCTGCAGGAGACGCTGGGGGGGGTGGGGGGGT